GCAGCACGACGGTGGGCTACGGTTGGGCGAAGGGCGATGCAGCGAGGTTACGTGGGAGCACCGCCAGCCGCGGGCGGCGGAAGCAAGTGGCTAGGCTGACGGCAACGGGGCAGTTCGAAGGAAAGAAGAAGACCGGCGGAAGGAAGAAGAAACAGATCCAGCCCTTGATCTTGTATCCGACGGCTGAAGAAAATCAACCGACTCAATTTTTTTTTCTAGGCGACTGGCATATAGCGAGACCCTAACTAAATTTGTTGAAAAGGATGACGCGGGACTCATATGTCAGGCTAAGTATTGGTGATGATTTTTGTCATATTCATGTGAAGCTAAGTATACTGCTTATGGTTTTTTTAGTGGTATGTAACAGCAGCACACGTGTGAATACCAATAAACTTATTGTATATTTTAAGCCCCTGCAAACACTTATAAGGGAGTTTATTTGGCGGTCTGCAGGAGATGATCATAGGATCCCCATGTCAGGGCTTACTAGAACATTGCAGTGTTTCTAAATATTCAGAATTTGTGAAACCATACATACACGGTATAAAATGCACCCTAAAATTTCGGATAATTTGTGACAACATGCAATATGCATGTACTACTTCGCAAAAACCCAACACAAGGGGAAAATGCATAGTACTCCCTCCATCCCACAATATAAGGCAATTTTGTAAACTACGTTAGGTTGCAATATATCTAAGCCCGGGCTCAGATGCTCCCGCTTAGAAAAAAATTCAAAACAAATACTAAAAAAATTCAAAAAAGTTCTTTTTTTTGTGGGGTAGATAATTTCATGCGTGAGGTCCGCTTAAAATTTCAACTCATTTGAATATTTAAGCAGCTCTCGGCAAAAAAGACAAATCGGGTCAAAACAGTTCGTGAAGAATAAACTTTTTTACAGACCACGATTTTGTCTTTTTTGCAGAGAGCTGTTCAAATGTCCAAACGACTTGAAATTTGGAGCGAATTGATTTTTCAAGAAATTGTACATATTTTTTGCACCTATGCTATGTGAATTTTCCATAAATTTCAGAAACTTGTACTAGTCTGTAGAAACCCGATGCTCAGGTCAACAACCCAAGCTGCTCTCGGCATCCGCCCACAGTAAGCTATCATCAACTTTCTCAGGGTAGGTATGCATACGGTAATTGTTTGCTGTCATAAATATAACTTCAGGCAACCCTAGAGTTTCTTGCAATGCCAATACAGCTAACAGTCGTTGGCACCAACACGCTGGTGATTGATTATTCACACCAATAATTAGAAAACAAAACCCCGCAAAATGACGTGCATCTCATATATAAATCATCCTGCCGTCGTCGCCTCATCAGTAGGTGTATCCCTTCTGGAACATGCCCTTCTTGGCCTCGTCGCTCTCACCCTCGCCAGTGTAGCTGCCGAGCTGCGCCAAGGAGTTGGCCTTGGCGCGGACCAGCAGGGCCTTCTGCGCCGCCTCGATGTTCTCGGGCTGCCCCTGCCACGTCTTCAGCACCGAGTTCTGGAGTGCCCGGGCGTAGGAGAAGGACACGTGCCATGGGTTGGCGGACTGGTTCATCGCGTTCAGGTTCATGGTTGCCTCCAGCTCGGACTGTCCGCCGGAGAGGAACTGCGGAATTGGGACGGTCGGGGTTATGGCTACTATTTCTTACTCTGTTTATTATGTATGTCCACGGGAAATGGACTGAAGAAAATAATCAGCAGAAGGTAAATGGTTCGAGGTTGAAGACAATACCATGATTCCAGGGACAGCAGGTGGTACTCTCCTCCTCAGCATTGTGAGGGTGTTCTTCGCAATGGCTTCTGGAGAAGCCTTCTCCTTGTGCTCAGCACCAGGGGTAACCATGCTGGGCTTCAGCAGGATGCCCTCAAACAGAACGTTGTTTTCGGCCAGGTAGAAGAACACCTCTGACCACACCTTCTCTGCCACCTCAAGAGTTCTCTCGATGCCATGGTCACCGTCGAGGAGGATCTCTGGCTCCACAATTGGCACTAAACCATTGTCCTGCAGATTATTCAGGTTTGAAACAAGATGAGTAAAGATAAAGAGGGGCACAAAATAGTTGAGATTATAGTGTATTTGGTTGCATAAATTTTCTTCAATCATATAATGTACTACCTCCATTCACAAATATAAGATGTTTTGGATATTTCAATATGGACTACATATGGACTGAAATATGGACTACATATTTCAACATACACTAAAACGTGTCTATATACATCCAATTCAGAAAAAAAAAAGTTAGAACATCTTATATTTGCAAACAGAGGGAGTACTATTATTGCATTCATTTCATCAAATTCTAGTATCAGCTTACAAAGAAGAACCTGATTTGGAAATTTCAAAGGGAAAAATGTTCCGATTGGTGGTGTCAGAACAGAACCACCATGCTAGTGTTCATTGGTATATATGATTTCAATAACAGCATATCTACATGAGCATACAGATATTTACTTTTTCTACTTGTTAATTAGTTCTCCCTACTTGCTATCAGATAGTGTTCAATGGATGATTATACTGTAGGATAGGTTATGTCGTCGCACAGGTTTCTAGGAAAATATGAGCATAAAAATGATTATGCTGTTCATCAACTCCATGAGTAAAATATCAAACTAAATAAAGGATCACTTCTTCATTCCAAAATGTTCAGCAGCTGAGAACACGTATTACCTGAGCAATAGCAGCATAGCGAGCAAGTCCCCATGCCGCTTCCTTGACAGCTAATGCAGTAGGACCACAGGGGATGCTAACAACAGTTCGCCTGTAGAAGATCAATATAGCATAGCAAGTTTAGAAAGGGAAAGAGAATAAAACTAGTCAGGAAATGCACAAGGAGAGTATGAACTGACCACTTTGCGAAGCGTGCACCCTGCTTGTAGTACTCAGCGCACCTTGAGGCCAAACCATCAAGACCTTGGCACCAGGATTCATTGTTGGATCCGGGCAATGGAACCAAACCCTATTGGGAGAACAAAATAAATCAAGTACTAAAATCAGAATGCTAGGACTGTCTTGGTGACTACAAACGGCACGACGAATCGACGATTTTCAGAACATGGCATGCATACCTTGTCAACCTTGATACCAGGCATGATATTCTGGTCCTTCAAGACGTCAACAAAGGTCTTGCCATCTGTAGTGGACTGATAGAGAGTTTCCTCAAAAAGAATAGCACCAGAGATATATTCACCAAGACCAGCAGTGGTCAGCAAAAGCTGCCTGTAAGCCTGGCGGTTCACTTCCGTGTTGTCCAAACCAATGGATGCCAATCTCTTTCCACATGTTGCACTCGACTCGTCGATCGCAAGGATCCCACGGCCAGGGGAAGCAACAGTTTTCTGCAATGGGGCGAACTATTAGATTTGCAGTCATGAAACACAACAGAGAATGCATTGCAGCTGTGAGGAAGGAACACTGAAGAAAAATAAACAGGAAATAGCATAAGACTAGTTTGGCATACCCAACATCAAGCAATTAAGACGAGCATCAGTGTTAGTTCTAGACTTGCGGTGGTTCAAAATGTAAAGGCACGGTTCATTTACATGAAGGCATGCTTCACACTAATTGACAAATCAACACTTGAACAGAAGATTACAGTTGAAACAAAATAAAACCTAATGTACACACGATGCAAAGGAGATGGCGTGAAAGCAGACAAATCCTTTTCAGCCGAGCAGAAAGGCCAAGATTAATTCTAACAAAACCAAGACTTAAAGTACTGCTGGTAGGTTTTCCGACACAGGAAACTATCGCAGAGCAACCATACGTCAGCAAGTCCACCCAACAATCTACAAACCAAATGAATATGAACATATGGATGTGCAGTTGGCCACATCTCCTAGAAACAATTCTATGATATTTGGATTTGAGAATTTACTTTTAAGAGCAACACTAGCATCGCAATGACCTCCTTCCGTATCTACCGGGACAATCATCCTGAGACTCAACAAGCTCGTTGTTCAACCTTAATTTAAAAGTCAACCTGGGCCAATCTGGTTTTCCCATATCACGCAACCTGCCATCTAAAATAACAGAGGCTTGAACACAGCATAGGCGCTCATCTATCAGCCCAAATTCGATTGCAACGAAAAAAAATCGTGATCTCTTCGTCGTGCTAATTCGTTGGAAAAATACATCGAGACGAGGTCGTTTCCAATCGAGATATAATTCGACGGAGAAACGCACGGACGCTCTCATTTTCTCCAACCCCACAACACCCGTCCCCGTCACGGATCGCTAGACGCCAACCAAACAAACCCGGAGCCGCCACCACGACAGATCGCGGCACGCGACGCGCGCAACGCCCCAAGGGCGAGATCCTCCCGCGGGCCGCCGGCTCCTAGACCTAGGCGAGGCTACGAGAATCAGAGAGGGGGGGAGGCTCACCGCGGTGGAGACCAGCTCGTCGGCGTAGGAGCCGCCGGAGGCGCGGACGCGGACGAGCGAGGCGCGGCGGGCGGGCTGCGCGGACCGGACGGGGGCGAGCCGGGCGGTGGCCGGGGAGCTGAGCTTCGCGGTCACCATCGCCATTGGTTCGATCGGTCGATG